CCAGAGAAGTCTGCAACATTCCTCTTATGGGTTAGTAATACACCATAAAAAATGTTATAATGCTATATAATAAAAGGGTAATATGCAAATTTACCGAACGGTGGAACGACCAGTTGCTATGATGCACACTGACCACCAGAGGGCAGACGCTTAATGCAGGAACTTCCCCCAGACCACAGGCCCCGGGCCTGCCAGCCAATCTCTTGGTCCCTTCCCCTGGCCAGCAGGCTCCGATCACTGGATGGGGAACAGGGAACCAGGGGTGGGTGGCGGCAGACACAGGGGGTACCAGGCCAAGGCCTCCTCCCTGCTGGTCGCCCCCCACACACAGGGTGACCAGCATCGAGGGATGGAGTCAACAAGCAGGTGGGAACGGCCAACCCTTGGTCCCTCCCCTCCACCAGCAGGCTCTGAGAGCCCGGTGGCAAATGGGCAACCAGAGGGTAGGTGGTGGGGGGGGTGGGGCCAGCTGCCGACAGCCAGGGAAGATGACCCTGATCGCAGGCCAGGCCTAGGGACCGTACCCAGGCATGAATTTCGTGTGCTGGGCCTCTAGTAAACATATAACCATGAATTTTTCACTCTCAGTTTGATCATTATTCTTATAAATAATATCCTTTTTAAGTATATCTATTAATAGCCAATGGCACATACTTTGGAAAATGCTGAGCAATATTTGTTTAGCTAGGATTTCCCTAACTTATACATATTTCATGGTTACGTATGTACACAAGAATTAAGATGTGTTGGTACTTAGGCGAGGGCTGATTTATCTATTTAGGTAAGTCAATATATAAGCAAATTAGTGTTTATGAGGCAAAATATATAATTCATGAAAGTAATGATATAATTCCAAAGAATGACATAGAATTCTCAAGTAAATGTTTTTCTTTATTTTATATTTCCAATCAAACAATTATTAATTTAGCATAGTTGTAACTATGTGCCAAGATCTATTCTAAGCCCTTTATACAAATTTAATCCTTATGACAACTATAGATAGACAAAATTAACTTTATTATGATATAAATATGTGTTCAAAATTTAAAAAAGAATAGTGAGTGGAGAAAACGACTCAAACAGGACTTCAGAATACGAATAATATCAATGGATTACAGTAGAAAGAGGAGCAAGACAAAGATTTTCCTCTGAGGAGAAGTATGTAGAGAAACCAAAAGTCACTAGGGAGATAAAAAAAGACAAGAATTTGAAGCCTCCAGAAACTATATCTACAGAAAACCTTAAGCAGAGCCTAACTTCGATTATCATACATCTTCACAAGAAAAGCCCACTTACCTCAGTTTCTTTTACCTGGTACATGTTTGGCTTTTAAAAAACGTTAAAAGTCAAGACAAAACCACAGTCTTTAGAGACAAAGGAAGATCATAATCAAGCTTAGCTATAATACAGATGTTGGAATTATCAGACAGTGAATTTTAAATAACTACAATTAATATGTTAAGAGTTCTGATGACCAAAGCAGACAACATGCAAGATCAAGTGGGTAATGGAATAAAAAAGTGAAAACTCTAAGAAAGAATCTAAACAAAATGTTAGAAATAAAAAACACTGTATTATGAATGCAGACTGTCTTTGATGAATTCATTAGTAGACTCAATCCAGCTGAGGAAAGAATCAATAAACTTAAAGCTAGGTCAAAAGAAACTTCCCAAACTGAATTGCAAAGAGAAAAAAAATAAAAATAAAACAACAGTAGTAACAAAAACAACCATAAAACAATAGTGAGTAGAGACTCACAAGGTAGGTAGTTGGTAGGTAGTATATGTATAACTTATGACCTCAAAGGAAATATGACTCCATGTGTTTCACAGCAGTAAAAACAAAAAAAGGTTCTCACTCATTAAGTAGCAGAATGTAAGAAAAATGCGATTAAGTGTATATTTTAAAAATAAAAAGGAACATTAAGTAAAGGTTTATTTCCATATATCTCATTTATGTGTACAATCTCAAAGTGTTCTAAGACAGTAGAAATGGGGTGTGTTCAGCAGACATGGACATGAATGGATTTTGGGTTGGTTTAATGGAATATCAGATAGATGAGTCCTATACTGAGAGATTCAGTAAATAAACATCAAAGTATATATATATGGAGGACGTCTGGGATAAATTTTTGTTAAGTATGGAGAAAAGTCAATGTTTGTGGACATTGTAAGATATGAATGAGTCACAAATATTACAATGTAAGCATTTAATATGGTTGTTATCCACAGCCTAACAATACTGGAATTACTAAGAGGTTTCATGGTATAAAAACACATTTAAAGACTATATCAGCCCTGGCTGGTTTTGCTCAGTGGATAGAGTGTCAGCCTGTGGACTGAAGGGTCCCAGGTTCGATTCCGATTCTGGTCAAGGGCACATGCCTGGGTTGCAGGCTCGATCCCCACTAGGGGGAGACGGCCGATCCATGATTCTCTCTCATCAATGATGTTTCTATCTCTCTCCCTCTCCCTTCCTCTCTGAAATCAATAAAAATGTATTGATAAAGTCTAATTTGAACAAAGCATTCAGAAGAGAGGTTTGTTCCCCCCAGTCTCCAAAGGCACAATACTGATACCCTCACTAGGATGGAAGAATAAGGACTAAGGGAGAAAGCCCTACAGGAAAAAGTTTAAGGTAAATGAGTTAATCCTATCTAATAAAAGGGAATATGCTAATTGACCCTCACACCATCGCAAAGATGGTGGCACCCACAGCCAATAAGGAGGGAATATACTAATTGACTGCCCCACCCTCAAAGATGGCAGTGCTCACAGCCAAAGGGAATATGCTAATTGACTGCCCCGCCCTCAAAGATGGCGGCGCCCATAGCCAATAAGGAGGGAATATGCTAATTGACTACCCCACCATCAAAGGTGGTAGTGCCCACAGCCAATAAGGAGGGAATATGCTAATTGATTGCCATGCCCTCAAAGATGGCGGTGCCCACAACCACAAGATGGTGGTGCCTAGTCCCCTTAGCCCTGCTGGGGCGGCAGGTAATTGGCAAGGCTGGGCTCCTGCCTCCAGAGTCCCCGAATCCCCTCAGCCCCCCAGCTGCTCAGGGCAGGCCTGAAGCACAGGCAAGCCTCGGATGGTGGCTGCCCAGCTTCCCAGGCTGGCCCAAGGCGCAGGCAAGCCTCAGATGGTGGCTTCCCAGAAGCTCAGGGCTGGCTCAAGGCACAGGCAAGCCTCAGATGGCATCTGTCCAGCTGCCCAGGGCCGCCCGAGGCTCAGGTAACCAGGGCCGGCCGAGGCTTGCACTGCCGGCTGTGGCAGCAGCAGAGGTGTGATGGGGGCGTCACCTTCCCCTGATTGCCGGGTCGCCTCCCGCTCCAAGGGCTCCCAGACTGTGAGAGGGAGCAGGCTGTGCTGAGGGACCCCCTCCAGTGCATGAATTTTCATGCCCTGGGCCTCTAGTATTTTATATTAAAGAGCTTAGAGTGGTGCCTGACACAGAGTAAGTGCTTTTGAAGTATTTATTCAATGAATGGATGAATGATTGCTAAAATACATGACATGAAAAATATTTGTTTTAGAAAACTAATACATTTTCTACCCTGAGTTACTGATAAGTGAGATGTCTTACAAATAGCATGAAAAAGCACATGCAAATTTAACACACATCAAATGAAAACTCAGAATACAAATTATATCGAAACTACAGCTATACTTATATAGAAAATGACGTGTATTTCTATAGGCCTGGAAGGGAACATGAAAAATGGATCCAAGTTCAAAGTAACTATTAAAAGCAGTGTGACCTAAGACAAGTTGCTTAACCTCTGTGAACCTCAATTAACTTGTATGTAAAGTAGGGAAAATAATGGTACCTATTTCATAGCATTTTTGCAGTTTATTAATGAGATAATTCATCAAAAATCAATTTAAATAGTTAACCTAATACATAACACACAGAGTTCCTAATAAATATCTCTATATGTAAAGAGTCAGGGGCCATCGCAACGGAACAGACGACCGAACGGAAGACCGACAGGCTGCGTGAGGCTACCAGGCTGTCAGGGGGTTAGTGAGGGACGACCAAACAACTGAGCAGCAGGCTGCATAGGGCGACCAGGCCATCGGGGGGGTTAGTTAGGGATGACCAAATGACTGAGCATCAGGCTGCATGGGGCGACCAGGCCAGCAGGGGAGTTAGTGAGGGGCGACCAAATGACCGAACAGCAGGCTGTGTGGGCGACTAGTCCGACAGGAGGGCAGTCAGGGGCGACCAGGCCAGCAGGGGGCGCAGTTGGTGACAACCAGGCCAGCAGGGGGGGCAGTGAGGGGCGACCAGGCTGGCAGAGGGAGACAGTGAGGGGCGACAAGGCCAGGGGGGGGGGCAGTTTGGGGCAACCAGGCTGGGAGAGGGGGTCAGTAAGGGGTGACCAGGCTGGAAGAGGAGGGCTGTTGGAGGCGAACAGGTCGGCAGGGGGGACAGTAAGGGGTGACTAGGCCAGCAGAGGGGGGCATTTGGGGGCAACCAGGCTGGCAGGGGGGCAGTTGGGGGTGACTAGGCTGGCAGGCAGAGGCGGTTAGGGGTGATCAGGCTGGCAGGGGGGCCAGTAGGGGCAATCAGGCAGGCATGCAGGAGAGCAGTTAGGAGCCAGTGGTCCTGAATTGTGAGAGGGATGTCCAACTGCCGGTTTAGGCTGAGGATCGGGCCTAAACTGGCAGTTGGACATCCCCTGAGGGTTTCCGGATTGGAGAGGGGGCAGGCTGGGCTGAGGGGACCTCTCCCCCCACCCACCTGTGCACTAATTTCGTGCACTGGGCCTCTAGTCTATAATAATAAAAGCATAACATGCAAATCGACCGATCAGCCTTACAACAGAACAACCATCTGGATGACCTCCCGGACGAAGCTGGGGCTGCAAAGGCCGAGGCAGCTGGGGCTGTAAGGGCCGAGGCAGCCGGGGCTACGAGGGCCTCCTCTTGCACGAATTTCATGCATCAGGCCTCTAGTTAGATACACTACTACTATAGCTATTACTATTTTAATTGTAAGATGAATTGCATGTTATTATTAGCATAGTAGACAACACTATTTTAAATGAAACCAGTAGAATTGTAACTCACTTCATGGTTATAAAAGTGTCCGTTAATAGAGGCTCTATGTTTCTGTCTGTCTTTTCTGTCCATCATTGGAGGCTTCATCCTTTTTCTCACCAGGGTTGCTTCACTCATGGTTCTATAGAGCAATGGAGATTCTGGCTCTGCATCTGCATGAGGCTTCAGAGTGCTGCTGTGATAAGATAAATAATCTGGGAAGAATAAAGATGATAGGCACATATCATTTAGCCGCCCACCTCTTTGCATCTTGGGTGGATTTGTGTATATATTTAGTAATGTGTGACTAAGCAATGGACTCTAATGCTTTTAAACAGTGAGGGAATAATAATGCTCTTGTGTAAGAATAAGGTCTGTTGGCAGCACTTGTGTTCTATTTTACCTTGAGATTTTAAATAATTTTCTATTGTAATTAGAGCATCATGAAATAGGCATGAGATATTTCATCTTTCTCTAGCACTGGTCCTCAAATACAAAGAGATTTTTATTATATTTTTGGCGTCAAGATATTGACAGTCCCCTGGGTTTAGATGAGTATTTTTTTCCAAGGGGCTAATTGGAAAGATCCTTATCTAAAAGATGTCAAGAGGCCATAAGACAAGGATCAGGGAATCCTGGAAGGACATCATGTTTGTTATACAATATGATTTGTTACATGAAAGCAGAGGAAGCTGAATTAAGAATGGTTTGAAAAAATAAATAAACACTGGAAGTTGTTGGTAGAGTCAGGAAGATAATGTCAACAGGAACCCTTGTTCAGTCTGAAGACAGCTTGGTAATATCACCACCAGAAACATGAACCCGCCCCCAGCCTCAGTCACCCTCCTTCTCGGATCTCTATATATTATACCAAAACCAACATCTCTGTAAAATATAAGATATCATACCTGACACTCAGTAGTCTCAGTAAGTGATAGCCGTTGATGTAATTACTATCCCATAAGTTATTATTGTCATTACTACTGATGCCATTTTTATAGGTGCTGGCATTTTCCATTGGTTTGGAAAACTGATATGAACTCACTCGATGTTCAAGTAGATTTCTCTCTTTTTAAAACAAATGCTTGAAACAACTCTATCAAATATAAATAGTGACCTCAGTATATCTGCCTCTGGCAGGGGGTTATTGCTTTCTGAGAAGCAATGTTATGTAAATATCTACTAACTAAAATGGTCAACTTCTAAAATGATGTGAAGTTCAGTCTGAGATGCATGGCCTAACATAAAAAGCTACTGAATATAATAAATAATCCTAATCCTTGGGAAAACATTGAACCATTTTATGAGGACAAACTTAATTCAAGCCTTTAGCTCTCCCTAATTTAATAAATCTAAGTGACTTGATGTAATTTTTAAAAACGATCATATTTTTCTAGAACTAAGTAATGTTCTTAAACATCATATCAGAACTGTAGTGATTTAAGTTGGTGTATTCCTAAAGGCCTTTTTTTAAAAACATAAAATAAGAGTTTATTATGTAGTAGTGTGTAAAATGTTAGACTTCAGAGAAGCATTTATGATTAATGTTGTAAAGTCTCCTCATTAATAACAGTTTGACACTGACCTTCCTGGGAATTCATTGCTTCAGACACTGGAATCTCAGTCCTCTCCAGTTCACTAATATGATAAAGATCATCAAATTCTCCCCAGCGTGTCATTCCCCTGAAAAATAATAAATCTTATAAGTGACATCAATTCCATTCATATTGAGGTCCATGATGGTTTTCAGACTTACAGCATTTATATTAGTACTGTGGGCCTCTATAGGTAAATATATCACCCTGATTTATAAAAATTTTACACTATTAAAATAATATTTATACCAGAGTGGACAGCATGTGTTTTAAATACTTCCTTTACTTATTTTGAACATATCTTGACACAATAGTTCAATACACTGAAACACAGGTTACATAGATTCTGTAAAACGGATGTGCAAATGGAAGTGGTAGAAACCAACATAACCTGCTGTTATACAGAGATCTTATAATGCTCTCAAGAAAGTTTAGATACAAAAAGTGTTCATTCTGTCAACCTGCATTGAGTTCCTGTTTTGTTTTTTTCCAAAGCATTGTTAGGTAAAGTAGCTCCAAAATAATAAGGTGCCTATCGTTAAGGTCTTGACTACAATGAAGAATGCAATTCACATAGGAGGAAAGTATATGGAAACTTCTTTTCTAGAAAATTACAATTTATATGGGATGCTAACAATTGCCAAAACATCCTAATGCCCAGAATAAATAAAACTAGGCAACTGCTTATTTTTTTCCAGGTGGGTCAACAATCATCTTTAGTTTGTTTATCTGGCCTCAGAAAAGTTACTTATCTTTTCTGTGTCTTTTTTATAAAATGGAGAGGATATCAGTATGAGCTGGATAAGATGGTTGAGCAGATTGAGTTAATTTGGGTAAAATTCTTAAAACAGTGCCCAAGCACTCAGTATGTGTTAAATGATCATACTTGTCCTCATATTCACTCAGTAAGCACTCAGTATGTGTTAAATGATCGTAATTGTCCTCATCTTCACTGTCATCTTCATCATAATCACCATTATCTGTATCTACTTCATGATGGTCCAGGAACCATTAGAGATCTAGGCTATCCCCAGATCTCTCTAGGACTAGGTTAATGGATACTATTAGTGACAGGACCAGTTTTCTTCCTACTAAAATCTCTTTCATAGTGTCTGTTTTCCTTATGACCAAAAAATATTCACCCATAGGGTATTTATGGGATTAACTCTGGCTGCAACAAAAAATGCTTATTAATATTAATGGTCAGTATCTACAAATTGATAAATGTGATACTCCACATAAAATGAAGGATAAAAATCACATATTCAATAGATGCAGAAAAAGCATTTGATAAAACCCAGCGCCCATTTATTATAAAAACACTCAGCAAAGTGAGAAGAGAGGGATCAGACCTCAACATAATAAAGGCCATATATGGCAGCCAACATCATACTCAATGAGCAAAAACTACAAGTGTTTCCCTTAACATCAGGAACAAGACAGGGGTATCTACTGTCACCACTTTTATTCAACATAGTATTGGAAGTCCTAGCCATGGCAATAGGGCAAGAAGAAGAAAGAAAAGGCATCCAAATTGGAAAGGAAGAAGTAAAATTGTCATTATTTGAAGATGACATGATACTATATAGAGAGAATCCTGAAGATTCCATCAAAAACTACAAGAACTGATAAATGAATCCAACAAAGTAGCAGGATACAAAATAAATATCTAAAAATCAGTTGAAGTTTTATATACTAATAATTAACTAGCAGAAAGGGAAACTAAGAAAACAATCCTATTTGCAATTGTATAAAAATACCTTGAAATAAATTTAACCAAGGATGTGTAAGACCTGTACTTGGAAAATTATAAGACACAGAAGAAAGAAATTGATGAAGATACAAAGAAGTGGATGCATATACTGTGTTCATGGATAGGAAGAATCAACATCATTAAAATGTCCATAATACCTAAAGCAATCTACAGATTCAATGCAATTTGTATCAAGTTAACAATGGTGTATTTCACAGAACTAGAATGAATATTCCAAAAATTTGTATGGAACCTCAAAAGACCCCAAATAGCAATTTTGAGAAAAAGAACAAAGTTGGTAGAATCAAACTATCTCATATGAAACTATATAACAAAGCCATGGCAATCAAAAGAGCATGGTACCAGCAGAAAAACAGACATATAGATCCATGGGACAGAATAGATAGTCTAGAAATAACCCACACCTTTATGAGCAATTATTATTTGGCAAAGAAGTTGAAAACATACAATGGGATAAAGACAGACTATTCAATAAATGGTGTTAGAAAAATTGAACATACACACTGGGAAATATAAAACTAGATCACCTTCTTACACCATATACAAGAATTAACTCAAAATGGATTAAAGACTTAAATGCAACATTTGTAACCATTAGAGTACTAGAAGCAAACATAGGCCATCAAATCTCTGACATCTCTCTTAGCAATATTTTTTCTGATATGTCTCCTCAGGCAAAGAAAAAAAAATAAACAAATGGGACTGCATCAAACTAAAAAGTTTTTGTACAGAAAGGAAACCCTCAACAAAATGAAGACAACCCATTGAATGGGAGAACATATTCACCAATGATACATCTGAAAAGGGGTTAATATCCAAAATTTATAAGGAATTTATAAAACTCAACACCAAAAAACAAGCAATCCAATTAAAAAATGGGCAAAGGACCTGAATAGATTCTTCTCCAAAGAGTATATACAGATGGCCAATAGACATATGACAAGATTCTCAATGTCACTAATTATCAAAGAAATGCAAATCAAGACCACAATGAGATATCATCTCTCACCTGCCAGAATGGCTATCACCAATAAATCAACAAACAGCAAGTACTAGCGAGGATGCAGAGAAAAGGGAACCCTCATGCATTGTTGGTGAGAATACAGATTGGTGCAGCCACTATGGAAAACAGTATGGAGTTTCCAAAAAAAAAAAGAACTGCTTTATGACCCAGTGATTCCACTTCTGGGAATATATCCGAAGAAACCCAAAACGCTGATTTGAAAGAATATATGTACCCCTATGTTGATTGCAGTGTTATTTACAATAGCCAGGATTTAGAAACGGCCCAAGTGCCCATCAGTAAATGAGTGGATAAAAAAGCTGTGGTACATTTACACACTGGAATACTACTTGGCTGTAAAAAAAAAAGAAAATTTTACCTTTTGTGACAACATGGATGGACATGGAGAGTGTTATGCTAAGTGAAATAAGCCAGTTGGAGAAAGACAAATACCATATGATTTTACTTATATATGGATCTAATGAACAAAATAAAGAAACAAACAATAGAAACAGACTCATAGATACAGAAAACAGTATGGTGATTAGCAGAGGGAAAGGGGAATGAGGGTAAAGGCGGATAAATGGTGGCAGAGGAGATCGGACTTTAGGTGGTAAACACACAATACAATATACAGATGATGTATTATAGTAGTATAAACCTGAAACCTGTATGACTTTATTAACTAATATCACTCCAATAAATTCAATAAAAATTTTAAAAAGAATACTAGTGTTAGTGAATATGAATAAATGTGATTCTTTTTTCCTTGATCTTTGAATTATTTTGAAGTCTTTTTACAATTTTTATATCATTTCAGCCTCACAATAGCCTAGGAAGGAAATAAGGGAATCCTGATATATTTGTTGACAAATTTTCCAGTGAACTCTACTATCTAACATATAGTCAGTCAAAACAAATGGTGTAATGTCCAAAAACCATAAGTAATAACTTTAACTCAAAGGAGAAGTATTCAGGTCCTGACTCAGAATCTATTCTTATGATAGATGAAATTATTCATTTTGCACAATAGAAGATTAATAGACAAAGGAGAAAGATATAATTATCATAAAAAGGGGTAGCAATTGAAAAAAACAGACTACCGAAGAAAAACAGAAACTAAAAAGGCAACGCAACCTGATGCTATTTCATATGGAGGAGATGAAAAGCGCAAGAATGCAAGACCAGTAATGTACTATACATTCTTGGGAACCCTGGCAGACTTGACGCGATTCTCAGTTTCTTATAGCTTAGTGGTGTCACACTACTACAGGGAGACAAACATGGCTCAATATAAGCAGTGTTTAACCCCCTTTCCTTCCTACCATCTTAGGAGACTACACCAATTTTAGCTCTGGTTTGTATAATTTGAAGTATCAACATATACAACTGTGCACATGACCAAGTTGGAGAGCAGTTACCCAGGGTTTTCCAAAGAAAACTGACTACAACTTTATGTAATATCAAATAGTTTAACCTGCCCAAGCAGGAGACTGTTTGCATTGCTCTGACCAAGCTTCAGGATGTATACCATTAGCAAATTTAAACTGTGGGTAGGTATTCTAATAAGTTGCAAAAGGAAAAGGAGGTGGAAATTTGATAGGCAAATAGAAGATGTCATATTTGTACCCATATTGTAAGAAACACCACCCCCCCCACTATTGATATTATTGAAATGTACACCTGTCCAGTTTCTGCTCTTTACTTCATTCCACTATGACTTGTCCAAAATGTGCCAAAGCTGACTTTGGAAAGATATGAAAAGCAGAAAGAAAAACTGACACAAACAAGCATAATAAGGCTGTCTTTTTTTAAATTTCCAAAAGAAAATACTTGGACCAGATATAAGAGATCAAAGTTCTGTCTATAGAATTCATTCCATAAAGGATTACAAGTGGTCACAGCTCAAACAAACTTATTTTAAGCTTCTACCACTCCCATTAAGCTGACTCAGTGTGACTCATTTCTAATGTAATTAAAACAAACCAGCATAACAAACTGGTGATTCTCTCAAAGGGTGAACTGAAAGGCAAGGTGGCAGTGCTTCCTGCAGCTGAGAACACAACTTCTGCTTTTTTCACTCCACATCCATCCACTGGAGCTACCAAATCTGTGATTCGGTGACTGCAGAGGTGTAAGCTCTGCCCAGAGAGACCCAGTATGGGGAAGGGAACGTGAGAGCAGTTCCACAGAGTGAGGGAACAGTCCATTTCATTTCACAACTTCATCTGAGCTCAGTATTTAAATGAATGAGTGTGTCTGGGATTGGAGTGAAACAGAGGAGAACCTTAGGTGGCTCTGCAGCCCACCAGGAAACCCCAGGCCAGGGGGCAGACCTTCCGAATTATGCTGCACCTTCCTGCTGAGTGTTCAGCTGGTTCCCAAGAGGGATTCTTGGCTAATTAATTGCAACTGATTCTATTCCTGCTCTGTGTGGGCGAAGGAGAGGAGTGGGGGTTTTCTCTGACAATTCTCACCCACCAGAAATATCTGCTACATTGCAAGTGTGCACTCAGACATTCTCCCATAGCTCTCATTACTGTGTAAAAATCAAGCAGTTTTCTAGGGAATTCTTTCTCAATCTTAAATTAAAGAGATAATTCCTGTTTGATTCACAGGAATGCTCTGATAAACACTGGAAGGTGAAAATGGAGTCCGTGAAAATGCATCCTGAGGACGGTTATTCATAACCTGCCACGGTAAGTGGAGAGGCATCATTATTGCCTTCTCTACCTGGACCCTTAAAACTTATCCCAAAATTCAGGATTTATAGGAACAAGTTCCTTGTACTTTAAATTGAGACATTAAAAAAATATCTTGGGATATTCAAAATGACGGCTTAATGTGACAATCCAATGCCTTACTGCATCCCCTTACATCTTCCCATAATGTCCCATACTTATCAAGTTTTCATGAATGAAATCATCAAACGGAGCTGGCTGCTCAGAGAACTTGGCAATGAGTTCTAAGGTAATTTGAAGAATGATAGCTAATTTTACCAAATTCATATCTTGTACAGTTTTCTAAATGCAGGGCCCAAGGGTAACTTCACCTTTTCAATGCTGCTCCTACTCATTTAGAATCATCAGCCCCATCAATCACATAGTACCTGAAGGTGAGGGATGTAGGGCTTCATCAGGCTGCCTATGTTTGTGGTCTCCCTTCCACTCTTCCATAAGTCCTGACCCTTTGCCCATTGGCAATCCTTAGCTTGGGTGGAAGACTAGTCAGAAGTAGTATATGTACAGAAAGTTCTCACAACAGGGGTAATTTAACCACCAGGCTTCCGAGGGCTTCATTTGATACTATAATTGAGTCCCTTCTTTGTGTCAAGCACTGCTGAGTAATGGGATAGCAGAGATGAATAAGATATGCTCCTTATGCTTGAGGAACCCAAAGCAAGAGGGGGAGATAGGTGCATAACAATGTAAGCAGTGGCACGCTCTGAAATGGTAGAGAAAAGTTGTCAGTGCATCTAGTACAGACTGAGGTGTCAGAAAAGGCTTTCTAGGGAACGTGTTATCTGACCTGAATCTACAAGGATCAGTAGAAGAGTCTGAAAATAGGTGTGGGAAAGCAAGTAGACTTCCACGCAGAGAATTAGTGAAGTAGGAAACTGTATGCTATGTTAAGGGAATAAAAAATGTTCAGACTTCCTGGAGCATCACGTTAGAGGAAAATCGGCAAGGTGCAAATCATAGTGGGTCTTCAGTGTTTTCTTCAAAGGAAAAGCGGAGCTTCCCTCATGGTGTAAGCTGTTTTTTTCTTGATTGTAGTCAAAGACCAGATTGGGGAAATGGTCCTGGCAGCTCTCTCTCCATCCTCTCCTCTGCTCTGCTAGAACTCTGCCCATCTACCTATAGACGGGAGGATGAGTGAGGTGAAGGTTTAATATCTTCACGCACACACAAAAGGGACATGAGTTGCATCTTTAAGGATTAAAGAAGAAGGGAGGTTGGATGATTGAAGATCTATTTTTAGTTTTTTTTGAGGACTCTCTATGAAGTTTCCATAATGGCTGTACAAGGGCTCCCTTTTCTCCACATCCTCATCATTGCTGATTAAAAGTCACTTGTTGACTTTTGATAACAGTGTGAAGTATTTCCTCACTGATGATTAGTGCTGTTGAATATCTTTTCATAAGTTTCTTGGCCATTTGTCTGTTTTCTTTGGAGAAATGTCTTTTTATGTCCTCTGTCCATGTTTTGATTGAATTGTTCATTCTTTTGTTATTGAGTTGGATGAGTTTTTTCTATATTTTGGATAGCAATTCCTGCCAGATATATTATTTGCAAGTATATTCTCCCATTCTTTTAGTTGTCTTTTCATTTTATTGATGGTTTCCTTCACGGTGCAGAAGCATTTTAGTTTGGTGAAGTCCCATTTGTTTATTTTTGCTTTTGTTTCCCTTGTTCTAGGGGTTATATTTGAAATGATATTACTCAGAATTATATCAAATAGTGTACCACCTATGTTTTCTTTTAAGAGTTTTATGGTTACCATACAACCCAGCAATTCCACTTCTGGGTGTTGATTTAAAGAAAACAAAGACACTAATTTGGAAAGATATTTGCATACCTATGTTTGCTGCAGCATTATTTACAGCAGCCAAGACATGGAAGTAACTAGGTACTCATCAATAGATATTTGAATAAAGGACACACACACACACACACACACACACACACACTGCAACATTACTCAGTAATAAAAAAAAAGGGAATGAAATCCTGTATTTTGAGACAACATGGATGAACCTCGAGGGTATTATGCTGGGTGAAATAAATCAGACAGGTAAAGGCAAATGTTGCATGATTTCACTTACATGTGGAATCTATAAAAGCAAAACAAATGAACCAACAAAAGAAAAACAGACTCAGAAACAAAGAACAAATTAATGATTGTCAGAGGGAAGGAAGGTAGAGGAATGGGTGAAAAAGATAAAGGGAAGTATAGTCAATAATAGTGTTATAAGTTTGCACAGTGACAGATGGTTACTAGACTAGTGTGGTGTTTACACAGTAAGATGCATAAACGTTGAATCACTATGTTGTACATTTAAAACTAATATAATATTGTATACCAATCATGCTTTAATAAAAATTAAAATTAAAAAAGGAATGTAGGAAGGGCCAGTGGGAGGAAGAATACAGAAAAACATATGATTCCTTTTGAGAATATTTATTTGCTTTCTAAAAATAATGAAAGGTAATGAAAAAACCAGCCAAACTTATTTATTCAAGGTATGGTTGCATAAACCCACCCAGAGAACTGTTTTGTGCATTTACTGAGCTTCAAATACACTTGCTGTGCCTTGTTGAACAGGATCAGGACAATCAGGTGGAGCATAATTAAATCTCCTTTCCAGAAAGCAGAAAGAGCCCTTTGTTTCAAGAGAAATTTAAATTTGTATCTTTGTGTGTGTGTGTGTGTGTGTGTGTGTGTGTGTGTGTGAGAGAGAGAGAGAGAGAGAGAGAGAGAGAGAGAGAGAGAGAGAAAGAGAACAGGCCAGGGCTAATGAAATCTTGCCTATACATATCTATACATTTTATTTTTTTCCAATGAAGGCATGCAGCCTTCAAGGAGAGAAGCAATACAGCAGAGAGATCAAGAGCACGGGCTCTCCAGCCTGTAGACCTGAGGTTCAGTCCAGTTCCGCTATATGTTTTGGATAGTAATTCCAAACTATTAACATAGTGATTAGAGATCTTGCATAATTACTGAACTCAGAGCTCTGGTTTCTGAACACCTACTTCATAGAGTTGCTAAGGGATTCAGTGAGACTGTATGTAAGCATTTAGAAGAGCTCCCTTCTGTAAGAGTGCATACAATAAAGGTAAACATGAAGATTATTTAAAGAATTAAAAACATAAATGATAGCTTACATTTTGGAAAAGACATCTGGTGATTTCTCAGTAAAAGAAGGGATTTGCTTCTCATCTTGTATTTTCAGCTGTATAGGCCGTTTTACTCCCCAGAAAATGTCCAACATTCCTTCAACAATTAGTTTACCATCTTCAGTCTAGGGAAGAAACCAATCATCTCAGACATTGATTTTGTATTATTTATAGACAGTAAATGTTTCAACTGAAGATGTAGAAATTAAGAATGTAAAACATCTTAATAAATAAATTTCTAACTGGGATTGTTTGGCTTTTCAATTTATCTTCAAAATAATTCTATTTTAGCATTGGAAGATTTTTTTTAAGTTGGGAATATTTAACAAAGGAAGGAAAAATTCTTTTATTTTTGAAAACAGCTATAACCAGTGAAGTAAGTCACAATGATGATGACATGCCCATCAGAGGGCACAGTATGGTAAAACGCTTTCCGAATTCTATGATTCTGCAAAGTTTGCTCCCTCATGTCATTCAGAGCCTATGGTTAAATTCTTCTCCTCCCCACTAAATAAGTAAATATCTTTACTTCTCCTCCCCACCCCACTTAGATTCTGGAGCCTGCTTCCCCACTTTGATGTTCTCCACAGCCATTGTCACCATCTGACATACCATACATTTTACTCCTGTTTCTTGTCTGCCTATTAGAACTTAAGCAGCATGAGGAAAGCACAAACAAACTTCTAAACATCATGAATTCTGTGGGAACTATTGAATTAAAATGTAAATCATCATTTTCTTAAAGTGTTTACGTTTTCCTAAATTTTATATTTTTATAATTATAGAAGATATTAGAGATCTCACAGATATATTTTTATAATTATAGATATTAGAGATTGCCAGGAGCCGGTCCATCCTTGCTGCTTGACACAGTCGCTGCAGGGAAGAAACATCTGCACAGCATATATTTCAAGGGACCTGGGGTATATGGCATGCTGTTCTTAGTATGTTTGCTCCCCTTCTTAGCGCTATGTGTTTTAACCAAGGTCACCTCTCCGGGCAAGGTTGTTTCCCTAGGTGGGGATTTTTTCCCTGGAGTTAGGGATTAACAGACTAAGGAAGGGAATCAGTAAAACCCCTTAACTAAGTGCCAGGCAGGTAGTTAATCACTTTAACTGCAAACAATCACGCTTAAACTACATAATCTTTACTTAGGATAATCTCCTTCAGTTACTTCCTTGTAGCTTAACAGAACAATAGAATAGTGACCTTGGAATGGAGATAACAAACACCCTAACCATTGGAATAGAATGGGATAATAGGATTAAAATCAACTGGTATAAATACAGATGTAACAGGAGAATAAAGACAGAACCTGGCTGGAGAACCTGGCTATGCTGATCAACTGAATGCTGTCTCCATCTTCCTTCTTCACTGACTCCATCCACACCTTTGGGAACCCCTGGACCTTCTGGGGCTGGACCCCAACAAGAGATCTCTCAGTCATTGAAATTATTTTAAATTTGGTCCATTTCTTTTTAAAGTGGTCTGTTGTTTTTCTGTATATCATTACATTTGAGAAATTAATTGAAATATCCAATTGAAGTAAATTATTTAAGCTGACTAGTAAACATCAGAGTGCTTTGTAAATATCCTCTGTCTCAAATGCAGATTTAAGCCAAATCATGGTGACCTAAAGTCAGTGTTCGACCACCATATTTGAATATTTCAGCCAGAATATTAGAAAATTATAATATTCCCTGGGACCAGGAAGATATTATAAAAATGGGAAGTGAGCAGCATTAGAATACAAGACTGTGGAAAAAGAGGCATTCAACTGAAAGGAAGGAAGGAGAAGGGGGAAAGGAAGAAAGAAAGAAAGAAAAAGAAGAGAGAGAGAGAGAGAGAGAGAGAGAGGGAGGGAGGGAGGGAGGAAGGAAGGAGGGGAGGGAGGGGGGAAGGAAGGAGATTTAAAGTCAGTGTGTACAGTAGCCTTTAAGTTGCACCCCTGAAAATGTTTTCTAGCTTCAGGACTTTCCTGAATTGTTTCTTTAACATTTGAAAATGTATTATTATGACCCGGTTTACATGCACTTTAATGCTCATGCATTTTAACAACCAAATCAGACTATGTTACAGATATGCCATATAGTTATGATTTATTGAGTAACTCTCCATTGATAGAGACTTAAGATACCTTCAAATTTTTTCCATTACAAATGATATCACTGTGAACAGCTTTCTGTATACATCCTGGTGCATTTGTAAAAATGTATTAGGATAGATTTCTAGTAGAATTGCTGAAAGCAAATATGTCATTAAAGTTATTTTAAATGCTTTCCTTTCCCCCCAAAATGCTGAGTAAGTTACTGATGTCCCAGGACTGGGATTTTTGTGATATACTTAAAAAAATTATGATCAACTTAAAGATGAACCTGTTTCTCAGACCATTTGTGCTACTGGCTTATGAACTCCAACTCATCCCAGCTCCTCTGGACCTTTATGGAATTTTTTTCCTGTGAATCAACTGTATTTCATTTTTTCATGGACTTACCTGTACATATGAAATATGCAGATTTTCCTGATTTGCATAAAAGATGTTATAGTTCTTCAATAAAGAATTAAGTTGTTCCCTAAAAAAAAAAATACATTCAGTTACAATCAGTCTTAGGCTTTCTAATGGTGAAAAATAATAATGGTACTTCCAGGTCATGAAGGTATGAGATGGAAAGAAATGGTTCAATGGAATCTTTACTCATCTGTCATTTTAAATTAATGTAGGTCATTGAAAACGGAAGGCTTCTTAGGACACAAATAAACATTAAAGGTGCTAATTCATAAATAAATAACCAAAGAAAGGAAATGACGCTGGCCAAAAGTGGTGAGGAGAGTGTTTTACAGCAGAAGGCAGCCATGAAATAGACATTTGGTTTTACATTCCTTTTTTGTTTTGCAACATTTAACCACCTAGAATGTGCCTGACACTGTGCTTCTCACTGGGGATAGAGCAATGGTTCAGGAAGGGCTTCTGCTCCTGAGTTTCTGCCTCTTTGTGGCAGGTGGGCTGTGCCAGGGGAACACTGTATCCTGCCACACCTCCATCCTTTACTCTGTGCTGCCCATCGCTCAAGACGCTTATCTCACCTACTCCATTGGTCCAAGCTATCGTCTCTCATCTGGATTATTGCAATGGTCTCTTAAAAGCCTCCCTGTGTCTGTTGTCTATTCTCAACAGCAGGAGGTACTTTAATGCACTCTTGATCATCTCTCTTTTGTTCAAAAACCTCTCATTATTAGGAAAAATGCCAATATCCTTCCAATGACTGCCAAGGCCACATGGGATCTGGTCTGCTGTTACACATTCAGTCTCATTTCCTACCTCTCCCTCCTTCACTCACTACACCCCAGTCACTGACCGCCTTGATGTGCCTTGAACACTCCAGGCACATTCTCACCTCAGGGCCATTGTACTTGCTGATCCCTCGGCCAGAACACTTTTTCCCCATCGACACCATCACAATGTTAGCATGTTCATTTAAAAAAATAAGTTACTCAAAAGTCATCCTCTCAAGAAGTCCTTCTTGACCATCTAATCTAGAAATCTGCTGTCTCAAACATCCATATGCTGCTTTCCTCCTTGCTTCTGTCCTTTAGTCATCATCGAAACTTGTATACATTTTACTTATATTCTTATAATATATAATTATATATTCTTATATAATACATACCCATATATTATAAGAATATATATTCGTATAATATTGTCCTATATTCTGTCTCCCCTACTAGACTATATAGAGCCCTGAGAATGGGCAAGCCTGTATGTTTTGTTCACACAGGCCCAGAAGAGGGCCAGGCACATAGTAAGAACTTAGCAAATGCTGGTTGAATGAAGTGATCAGAGAAATTTTTATTCCTAAGAAAACAAGACATTCCAAAGAAAGGAGAAAAGGGTTTTAAAAATATAAGCAGTTTTATAGGGGAGAAATCTCATGATATTACATTTCTAAATATATCAATAATTAATATCCCTTTGATCCTCAACATATCTCTCTCCCTTAAGAATTTTGGCTCCATGAGGGCAGTAATTTTGGTCTTATTCATTGCTGTCTGCTCAGTGTTTACAACAGAGACTTGCTCATAGTAGGTTTTTATTCAATAAATACTGAATATTGAACAACAGAATTCATGTATATTAATTTTTACATGTTTGAGATCACGTAAACATTCTTTTTCCATTTGACTTTTCTCTGTCATTTTTCATGTGCCCATTTCCAAGAATCAATACACCCTGCACAATCACCACATAAAACATTTCTACAGAATATGCACCCCTATGTTCACAGCAGTGTTATTTACAATAGCTAAGATTTGGAAACAGCCCAAGTACCCATCAGTAGATGAATGGATAAGAAAGTGGGACATTTACACTATGGAATACTATGCAGCTGTAAAAAAGAGGGATCTCTTATCCTTTGAGACAGAATGGATGGACCTGGAACAATCCAAGGAAGACAAATATCACATGATCTCACTTATTTGTGGAATCTAATGAACAAAATGAATTGACCAACAAAATAAGACCTGAAGCATGGAGGCATGGAACAGACTGACATACTCGATGTGGGGTTGGGAGAATGAGAAGAGATAAACCAAAGAACTTATATACTTATATGCATAGCCCAAGGACAAGGGCAATAGGGTAATGAAGGCCTGGGGGATGGGTAGGAGCTAGGAGAAAGGGGTAAAGGGGGGGTGGAAATGGGAGATATCTGTAATACTATCAACAATAAAAAATATATTTAAAAAGAAAATTTCCATTTCAATATTGAAAAAAGAAAAATTTCTCCAGAATTCCTGTATGCTATATCATTCCATTTCCCAACTGGGTTACTTTAGAATTTTAGTGTTCGTAAATATTTCTGTTCTAAGTAGCACTGAGCACACTGATTTTGCTCCCTTGGAGTCATTGCTGTGAGATATTTCCTAAAAATTGCAGTCCTGGTGAAGATCACAAACACTTTTCCAGGTCTCATTACTGAGTGTCAGGACAGCAAACAGACATTTCTGGTTCATGCTGGATGCAACTCCTGATATTCTGAGCTGTGAGAGTTGTTATTAAAGCAATGAATTTTTATGTAACCTTATTCCTTCAGCTTCTGTTTCTGTTAAAACCGCACAATAAGGTAAGGTACAAGTATCCTCCAAAGTATTTACCTCAGATTATGTATAATTAGAAAGGTTATTCTCTGGGAAAAAGCTATTTGGAAAGTGTTTCTGTACCCAAACAAAATCTGACTGAATCTTCCTCCACAGAAATAACTCAGGGGATTGGCAAACAAATGACCCAGGGAATTGGCAAATAGTAGTCCTGGGCCATCTGTTTTTTTGTAAATAAAGTTTTATTGGAATACAGCCACACTAATTAGTTGGCTTGTCTGTGGCTGCTTTCCTGCAACAACTGCAGAGTTGAGTCCTTGTGGCAGAAACCAGATGGCCCACAAAGCCTGAAATATGTACCACTATGACATGGTACTAGAGGCCTAGTGCATGAAATTCATGCACTGGGGGGAGGGGTCCCTCAGCCCGGCCTGTGCCTTCTCGCAGTCCGGAACCCCTTGGTGGATGTCTGCCTGCAGGCCTAAGCCCCCTCACAGTCTGGGACCCCTCACTCCTTACCGCCTGCCTGCTTGCTGTTCCTTACCACTCACTCACTGCTCCTTAGTCCTGCTGCTGAGGTAGGAGAGGCTCCCTCCACCGCTGCTGCGCTCGCCAGCCATGAGCCTGGCATCTGGCTGAGCAGCGCTCCCCCTGTGGGAGCACACTGACCACCAGGGGGCAGCTCCTGCGTTGAGCGCCTGTTGCCTTGTGGTCAGTGCGCATCATAGTGACTGGTCTTTCTGGTCGTTCCGCCGTAAAGGTCACTTAGGCTTTTATAATATAGATTATTTGGCTCTATTGAGAGAAAGCCGGCCAACCTATCAGCCATGTGTAACACAGGGTAACTGAATACCACAGGAGTCTTCCACACTTCTTTTCACCACAGGCAGGATCTTGGTGACTATTAATGGCACTTTGAAGGATATTGGAGTGTGGGAGAAGAGTTGAGCTCAGTAAAATAATGTTAAGATAAAATTAGGTAAGTTAATGGTGCAATAAAGCAAGGACTTAGCAAAGAAAATTCAGAAGTTAGGTGAACAACTATCACAATGGTGAGTGCATTCCAAAATACAGTATTAAAAAATCATCGCATTTTAACTGTATGTACCTGACCAGAGGAACTTTTGAAGATGATTTGTTTATACAGTTGATGAAACAACGGGGCACAAAGAGCTGAATTGTTACTGATCCTCTGCTGACTGATTCACATTATGTGCTCTATCAGAAGACCTGTAGTAATGGTCATTCACTCATTCACTGTGTGAGCACAATCATGAGGCCGCAGTCATATTCTGAGGGTGGGTGAGAGCTTAGAGGAACAGAAGATCTTCAACAAACATGGGAGGGTGAGCATTGAACCAGGAAAGTGTGATGAGCTTACCAGGCAAAGTAAACATTAACAAGGCCATGCAGCTCTTTCTGTAGTCATTGTGCAAAAAGCTCAAAGAGTTGGGATTCTAAGAGTATAACACGGAAAATGGGGAGTGGTGAGCCATGAGCTGAAGAAGCAGACAGGAACCTCGTGAACCATTTTAAGAGGCTTAGAATTCACCCTGCAGGCAATGGGCAGCTACTGAAGGTCCTTGGCAAGAAAGAGACATGGTGATGCTAAGGGCCACTAGGGAACTCATGGGAAACAGATTTCAGGACAGGACAAGATGCAGCAAGAGGAGTAGGACCATTGCAACAGTACTGGGGCAGAGGTACAGGAGCAAGGCTATGTTCCATGGAAAGGTGATCAGATGCCCCACATATATGGGAGGATCTAAAGTATTAAAGGGACCTAGAATAAGTATAGGGATTATGCAGTTTAGGAAATCCAAAGGTAATCACCAAGTGTTACCTAGGCAGTCCCTAGTCAGGAAAAGAGACACTGATTTAAGGTTTGAGGGTACACTTAAATGTTATATATGGATCCCCCCAAAAGAGCACCCTTTCCTCTCAGCCCCCAAAGAATTCATCCAGCCCAAACCAGAATGCTTAGCCACTGTCCAGGCCCAAACAAAGTGGTAAAATGGGTGATAAGCAATGGATTCCATATCCCATCTTCTCAGTTTATAAATCTCTGGTGTATAGAAGTCGTAAGGATACTCAGGAAGTAGATACAAGGTTCAAACAGCCTGTCTATGTTATGAGTGATAGATAAGAAATTGATTTTCTAAGATCTGGATGTTCTTTTAGAAAACATCACACAGTATGTCATCTGGATTGTATTTTTTACAAAACTAAGGGATGGCAAACTTCCATGTAGGCTGGACATCTAACTAAATGAACACAGAATCATAAGCTTCCGCAGGGCAGGAGCAGGCACCGTGCACTGGCAGTGCAGAGAGGGGATCCTGATAGAAGCGGATGGACACCCAGAATTATCCATTACAGCTCCCGGAAGAGTGCTAGCCAGGGAGAGACTTATCATGGAGTGACAGGTGCAGAGGAAGGATGCAGGGGAGAGCCCAGGGTTCCTGTTCCTTTA